ATATATAATCTATTTATTATTTTGCGCTGGCTATGGTTCATTGTCTGCAATCGCATCTTTCGTCTTCAAGTTCGTGATCAAGGTCTCCCTACAATTTAGCATCTTGTGCATTGAAAACCACTCTTCGTCTATTGTGTAGTATTCGTGTGCGCTAGTGTAGTATTCGTGTGTGCTAGTGTCTAAAGTGTGCGTATGTACATGATGTGTCTATCGCTATGTTATATGTTAATATTTACTATTTGTAGCAAAAATAACAATATGTACAAGAATAAGAATCGTTCGTATTACTCTCTATATTGAACCGCCCAAACATAGTTAGTAAATATCATATAGCCAGTGAGTGCTGCTCTCCAAGAATGGCTTGTCCACTGAACAGACTGAAGTGAGTGAGTGATAACGTCAATAAGTTATAAATATAAGTTGAACGTTAGCCGTTATTTTTTCAATTTATAAACGGTTTAACTTTTATAAATCAATATTATATGGTCGAAATCGTGGATTTTGCACTTCAGAACTGCACCTATATTCAACAAAATCCGACAGCAATTTTTTAGAACATAATATATGACCTAGAAAGCTGCTCCTAAATAATTTCGGTTGTTGTATACTTGTAAATATGATATAAAATAAGAATTTTCTATGGAAGGCATCTAATAGTTGAGCGTTTTACGCTTACGCAATGGTTTAAAACGTTGAATTGCTTATTAAGTGGGACTCTGTGGGAGTGTGATATTTTTGTTTATAAGTTAGTTCGGTACTATGTACCTACGAGTAAAATTACAAGCTTTTTTTAGCAATTGTCTTTATTTAAAAAAACCCCCCCAATATAAGGGAGAAAGCCAGCGGACAGCAGAGCAGACGCAGACAGTATTTAACTGAGTAGCAGACCGCCAGTCGCACTCGCCAGACGTATTTATTTAGTACAAGTTAAAATATATATAGACGCAAATCCCTATATGACATATACAGTAATAAAAAATAATTAGGAGGCCCAAATAGTTTTAAAAATAGACAGTTATTTATGAAAAAATGACATTCGATTTTTTACAACTAAAATACAAAACTAATAATATCTTTTTCAAGCCTTGATAAATAAATATTTACTGGGAAATAGATATTTAGAGCCTGGCCTTAATTACGAAAAAATAGCTTTTTTTTTTAAATAATGAATGCTTTGTTTTAAAATTTTGTTTTGTTGTTTTGTTGTTTTGTTGTTTTGTTGTTTTGTTGTTTATTCTAACAAAACAAAACGAAAAGTTGAAAAAATTCCGAGTTCAGACCTGAGTTCAGATATCAGAAGGCAGTCGGCTGAGTGCCTGAGTCTCTGAAGCCTGAGGGCTGAGGGCCTGAAGCCCTGAGACTTGAGAGGCTGAGACTGAGAGTGCAAAGTGCAAAGTGCAAACACATCGCCTTCTGAATTCAACAGCAAACATTTGTTGTTTTTATATTTATTTTTATATTTAAAACGGTCAAAAACATGATTCAAAAAAAATAATTTATAGATATACTTTTTACTAGAGATAGTTTTACTTGTATTTTTATATACTTTTAAAAGCAAATATTTACATATTTATATGTATGTACATTGAACTTGAGTATTCTTACAAAAAAAAAGTATTTACGACGATTGAGAATTGTTTCAAACCAATGTTTTTAAATTAAGGAATTTCGTTTTCATTTCTCGTTATTTTTAGAACAAGTAAATGAATAGTCAGTTGCTCTCACTCTCTACTTTGAATTTTTTCTGTGTAATAATAATAGCTCAAATATATTCTATAAATAATATAAAAAATTAGAGAGAAAAAGTCCAGCAGGTACGGCAGCAGATCAAACCGTCAAAGACCCGCATTTAAAGACTGAAGTGTCCTGTTTTTAAAAAAAAAATTGTATTTACAGTCAGTATTTACATTTGAGTCCATAAAAGACCAAATTTGTCAGTAAATATTCCCCATGACCTTGAAAATTTGAAATTAGGACCCGGCCTGAAACTAGCGGAACTTCGAAAACAAACAAATCGCACAAATCAAGTTTTAAAACATGAAATTATTTATAAATAAGTTCTCTTAAATCGATAACATTTGTACGTGCTCTCGAAAATCACACCGCAAACAGCGCCTCTATACAACACGGACCACAATATACTTTCATTATTGTGTCTTATTCATCCTCCCAGCGTTCGTGCCAACCAGGTAACCTTTTGCACAGGACAAAAATGAATATCTGATCACAACTACTGAATCATAGTTCTCATATTACGTAGTAAGGCACACGCACCCTCCATCAACTGCACAAGCGAGCACCAACCAATTAAGAGGCTTAATTGTTTATCATATAAACGTAACAATGTCGGCTGATCTTGAACAAGAGGAAGAGAGCTGCGGCTGGAAGTTCCACCAAGTATTCGGAGACAAGGGCAATTATGACGACATTACCGAAGGTATACTCGAGCTCTATAGAATTATATATTGTAGTTATAAGTACCGTTGCCATCATTGTAATTTTATGACGGATTTGACTGTTCTTAGTCTTATCCAAAGACATGCTTATACGCACCCACTCGCTCCAAAACAGAGCAAATTTATATTACTTCACATAGGCAAATGAAGCATATATGTTCGTACAGCTATGGTGTTTGATTGATTTTCTGTATGTACGCGTGTCTCATTGATCATAGCGATTGAACTGGTGTACAGGCGCGTAAGTACAAAGCTATACGTATAATTGTATACCTATAGTTACTTGATGTATATATATATATATATATAAATATATTACTATTACTACTATATATA